TTTTTTTTTTTTTTTTTTTTTTTTTTTTTTTTTTTTTTTTTTTTTTTTTTTTTTTTTTTTTTGTAAATATCACGTGTAATTACATTTGTATGGAGGAGGGATTTCATTTATCTTCTCATCTTTCTGTTTCAATTTTTTTACCATAAATAGAACAGCAATGGCTGATATTTCTTAATTTAGTATGAATTTGAAATGTTAGCAAAAGAAAAAAAATAGTGATTGATTCACAAAGAAATTGTAGACTTGGGATATTTTTGCTTGCCTATGGAATAAAAGAGAAGCTGCAGTTTTCATTATTTACTTACTACTGCCAGAAAGTTATGAGTTTACATACAAATGAAAAGTGGGTTGGTGTAGCTGATTTTTGAAAAATCTCAAGGAATTATTTTGCGATAAGTTTCCCCCTGGATGATGGATGTGGAGTCTGTATCCTTTTAGAAATATAGAATGAGAGCTCAACCTAGGCCCTACACCTAATAGTTTTTTCCCTAGCTTTTCATTTGAGGAAGTATATGAAATCTAAGATCAACTTTTCCGAAGTTTTGGGGAATATTTTCATGCCTTCGTTATTTGTCTTTTTTACCTTTCCTCATTTCGTACACTGTGCTTTAATTGTATAGGATGCAGAGTTCAATGTAGAAGCAGCTCAACGAGGGATAGTATATATTGATGAGGTCGATAAGATAACTAAGAAGGTATGGCATGGTCTAAGATCCATAGAGGCTATAGTTGTTTGACTTTATAGTATTTGTCATAACTTGCTTTTTTCTTATTAGAGTGAGAACGTAAACTCTGGCAGAGATGTATCTGGGGAGGGGGTCCAGCAGGCACTTCTGAAAATGCTTGAAGGAACCGTGGGTATTCAATTTGACAGTAATATTGTTCATTTTTTGTTGTTGTTGATGTGTGTGTGTATATTTTTTATTTTTTATTTTCTTAACTCGTCTTGTATTGCTTCATCTGTTTTCCTTGCTTAATCTCCTAGAAGTTGGATGAATCTTCAAATGGCTTTGATGTCAATTTGATGTTTTCGTTTGACTTATAATCTTTTCTCTCCATTTTGAAGCATATTTGTGTATTGGTTGACAAATATTTGACTTTTATTGTTAACACTAAGTGCACGTGTAAATTCGTTCTACACCTCAACTTATTTATTCTGCGACATGATTAGCCAGAACAGGTCAAAGGGCTACTAGGATTTTCGCCTAAGGAGGGTAAAGACACCATTAGACCATAGGATTTTGCTTGAACCTTAAACTGAGGGTCCTCAATAAGCTGAAGAAGGGCACCTGAAGCTTTGTTGGGCCAACACCACTGCAAATTGAATAAAATTAACCCTCTTTCCCAGCAAGCAGCAACAAATGGGCAAGAGAAGAAGAGGTGCATCATAGATTCCTCACGTTTACAAAAAATTCAAAAAATTCCTTAGGTTCTACCGTGAGTATTCAGCCTCTCAAAAGAGGAAATCCACAAGAAAACCTTGACCTTCTTAGGACGATCAAATTTTTGTCTACCCAGCTGCTTGTTTCTAGTGTGCAAAATCTAAAAGGAAAAGATTCTTTGATTTAATTCCTTTTAGATTTCGTACATTTGTGCTACATTAACATTCTCCAAGAGGGTCAGATTATGGCCTTTGCCAATTTTCTTTGATCTATGATCGCCCTCTCTAGTGTTTCAAACTTCTTGCTCTTCTTCCGTTTCTAGAGGTGGGATTCCATTTAATGGCGTTTTCAAGGGGGGGAACCTTGTAAACTTAAACAACCTGACACTACGGGACAACTTGAGTCATCTATTTTACTCCTATAACTACAGCATAACTTCTTGGAATTTAGCAGGGAACTGTGGGATATTCATATTATTCACTTTGAAGTCTTGCTTTGGAGCTCTTTCTTGGCTCTTCCGGGTCTTTTGTCATATCATCCACTGTATTTTTGTCTTTTTATAACTGAAAGTTGCCTTCCTAGTACCAAAAAAAAAAAAAAAAAAAAAAAAAAAAAAAAAAAAAAAAAAAAAAAAAAAAAAAAAAAAAACANAAAAAAAAAAAAAAAAAAAAAAAAAAAAAAAAAGGAAAAAAAGAAAAAAAAAACCTTTTGAAATTGTCAATTTACTTTAAAACCACTTACTTTCTTTCAGGTAGTGGATGTTCCTGACAAAGGTGCTCGAAAGCATCCTCAAGGTGATACAATTCAGGTGGAGTTGAACTGCAATTTAGTATTGTTTTTATTGGTTTTCTTCTTTGATATTCGTATAATGTGCAAATCGCATTCGAAGTTAGCTCTACCTTCAGCTTCCATTTAGGTACTTACATGGAAATTATATTAGCTTGTTCTTTGCCGGACCTTTCTCACTCAAATTGACGAGAAAGGTCTGGAAGTGATGAGCCACATTTAGTGGTTTGACATTGACAACTTGTTGGAGATGAGTCACCAAAAATGTAAAGGCCCGAGCGCAGGTCCTAACCCATGGATTTGATTGATTGGATCAAACTTTGAATCAGGCTTGGACAAGACGGTCCATTGGATTATTGACTATTTTATTTTTTGAAAAATAGTTTTTATAGATCAATTTGTACTCTGGTTTTAAATTTCATGAGTGAATTAACTTAGATCATTTGTCAGGATTTCGTTATGAAACTGTCAAATCATAAGTTTCACACATGTATAAAATTTCTTTAAATGTTGGAATTTATTTAACAATAGAGAGAAATGTTGAATCAAATGGATAGTAGAAGAAAGAGAGATGAAATAAGATTTTATTAAGGTTAAATTATAAATTTGGTCTATGATTTCTAGATTAGAGTTCATCCATTAGACTATTTACGAGAGTTTTTTTAGACCATAGAGACTATTTATGAGGTTTTATTAAACCATGTGCATTCTAAACTTTCAAAACTATAGACTAAATTTTGACTTTCTCAAGACTATAGGAACAAAATTTGTAATTTAGCCTTTTATTAATCACACCAATAGTATTCTTAGGTGAACTGATAACTTCATTTTTAAGGATCTAACGTGTGAAATATGATTTATATCCTCCAATCATAATAATAATTTTCTTGTTAATATTTCAATTATTAAATTTAAAGTGATCTTATAGTTAATAGTATAGATTTTTTTTTTCAATATAAAATTGTGGGTTTAATTGTTACATCGGCTATAGTTAGAGGTTTAATTATAGTATCTTTTATAGTTCAGACGTGATTTGTGCATTTTTAGATTGGTCATTAATGGAGGTTAAGCGGTATGGTTTAATTGTAATGATGTTGTAAGTTTGAGGGTACAATGGTAACAATCTTCAGTGTTTTTTGCATTCCAGAACATTTGTGAAGAATTTAAGAAATATTTTCCAAAAATCATCTGCTTTAAGTACTTATAGTTTCATACTGAAGTTCTAGTTTCTTAAATTTTTAATTGTCTAATTCATAGAACTATATTATTTTATGTACTTTTTTTAAAAAAGTTCAAACGTGGACCTTAGCAAATGAAAAAACTCCCCACTTTTTTGCCAGTTTGTGCTTATTTGGTCTTCTTTTTATTATTCTGTTAGAAAAAATACTACTGTTCTGGCAATGTATTTTGCCTTCTTAAGCCAAAATTTCTTTTATGCATGGCAGATTGATACAAAAAATATTCTCTTCATATGTGGTGGTGCATTTGTTGGCTTAGAGAAGTGCATCTCTGACAGGTAAGAATTGCTTCGTTCTAAATGTCAATAAAAAACTGATGAAGTTCTTTTTAGTCCGTTCAATAATCTGTGTGGAAATTGAATATCAACACTCTTTTTACAGGCAGCATGATTCTTCAATAGGCTTTGGAGCACCAGTTCGTGCTAGCATGAGAACTGGTGGATTGACAGATGATATAGTGACATCTTCGATACTGGAATCTGTAAGACCTTACACCATTAGAAGTAAAATTATTGTGTATTAATGTATCTTGTTATTTTTTCTTGGCATTTTCTGTACTGAGGCTCCAATTACTTTATTTGTTTCCCTCCATTTCACAACTTGTCTTCATTCAACTTCTGAAATGAAGGTCTCTTAACCTTTAGGTAGAAAGCAGTGATCTTGTTACTTATGGCCTCATACCCGAATTCGTCGGACGATTTCCTATTCTTGTGAGTTTGTCAGCTTTGAATGAGGACCAACTTGTTCAGGTTTGTCTAGTCTTTTGGGTCATCTTTTTCTGTTTGTTGCTTAACTCTGGAAGATACAACAATTTTCTTCATTCTTCTTTCTCTTTAATAGGTTCTTACGAAACCGAAAAATGCACTTGGTAAGCAGTACAAGAAGATGTTTAGAATGAATGATGTAAGTACCTTTTTACTTAAAAGAATTAAAAAAAAGAAACTCAAAAAAACTTGGTTGTAATTCCAATAGTGTTCTCGTGTGTTTACTCTCAAGCCTTTGTATGATTTTGCAGGTCGAATTACATTTCACTGAGAATGCTTTAAGAATGATTGCGAGGAAAGCAATGAAAAAGAACACAGGTGCTAGAGGATTAAGATCCATTTTAGAACACATTCTGACAGAAGCTATGTTTGAGGTATCACATTTTAGGGTACCATGTGTGTTTATTCTCCATCACTAGAAGTTGCAAAACAAATAAGGAAATAAAATATACAAAAAAAAAAAAAAAAAAAAAAAAAAAAAAAAAAAAAAAAAAAAAAAAAAAAAAAAAAAAAAAAAAAAAAAAAAAAAAAAAAAAAAAAAAAAAAAAAAAAAAAAAAAAAAA